GGGCGAGTTTGATTTGAAATCATAAGTATGATTTCAGACCAAAATTGCACGACACGAGGTTCAATTACCACTTTATTACATCCATTTTGAAATCACCCAAATACTGGACTTGGTCAATTCAAATATTTTACTGATACAGAACTGAGCCGGTTTTAAAATAAAAAGTGGAACCTGAAACGTTTTTACATCTTATTTTGTATGCAAAACAGAAAGACTTTGACGTCATGTGTCAAAAACTCAGTCAAGTGTACAATGATGCGATTCAGAGCAAAAAATGGTGCGATTTGGAAATAAATCGCACCAATCAGAGCCAATCAGATTACAGGGACCACCAGTGATTTCAAAATGGAAACTCGATTTTTAAAAGATGTAATAAAAAAGCAAAATGTCGTTAATGTTGACGTCATCTATGCTTCTGTCCTGCAATAGATCATACATTATAACCAATCAAAATGGGTGTATAATTTAGCGTAAGGGATGATAACACTTGTCATCGCCAACTTTTTCGGTCACAACAATTCAGCGCGCCTTACGTGACGCCCCTCTTACCGCTGTTCTTCCTGTTGTATCAACGGGCCGCGCGAAGTGAGGTACAGAATATATTGTTTATATAACCAAGATTTTAATACATACCAAAGCCGCTGAGGAAAATAACTTGCTTCGAAAAACGTAGTCCACAAAATTAGCTTTCAAACGAGAGTTTTTTCAAGAAATTTGGACAAATGACAGTCAAGATATCGCCATTCGAAAACAGGGGATTTTGCAGTTTTATCGTGGACTTCGGTTTGTTAATTTTCTGCTGTTTGGCGGCCAAAAATTGAAGGGGCTGAAAAATCGCTCTGAGCTTCAAAATTTAAATTTTGAACCTGGAGAGGGTCTACTACAGAGGTCCTGTCCGGCAAATGGAGCACCTAGCTCTGGAAATGATTTATGCCATGCTGATGCTTCGGATTCACGCGTTTTCGCCACCTGAATTATAAGGGTTGTATGGAATATACCTTCGTTTTCGAGAGATAGTAAAAGGGAGGGTTTACCACACTCGTTTTATTGTTGTTTATTTTTTAACAGATTGCTTTTACTTGTAGTATCAATATCCCCGTCCGGGAAATTGAAAAAATTTTTCATGATAGCGAATATTTACAATTTTTACGAGCCTTCCATACAATTCTCTTTAAAATCGGCAGCGATGTTTACAGACATTTTGTTATCAAACCGCCTGCCTACCGCACGCTCGTGACCGGAATAGTTGGCGATGACATCTCTTTGTTAAAAAGAGTTAACAGAGCTTCAACTTAGGTCTTATGAATGATACCCAACTTACCTATTAAATAGTCAATTGTGACGATAATAAATTCCAAATTAGAATCCGGTGGTGGAACCTCACCAATCGTAGTTAACGTTAAAGTTGACCAATAAAAGGAATAGATGTATTTCCTCGTGAGAGACCTGTGCATTTCAGTCATATTAGCGTTCTCCTTTAATCCGGGGTATACCCAGGAGTCCTTTCCAAATCCAATTTTACGCGACACTATAAAATATATACAAGCGTTCCAGTGGATTATGACCAGAATAAATTGCATCAGGGACGCAAGTCTGAACAGGTTTGGGTAGCTTGTCCTGCTCTCCGTACGGTCCAGAAAAAGCCAGAACCGGTGATACTTGATAAGACGATTCATGCGAATAGCTGGTTCGTGTGCGATGAAAATGTACGCAATGTCCAACGGGATTACAGATGCGGCGTCCATACAAAACTTCGATGTTCGAAGGTAGTGGCGCCTCATTTTTTTTATGTCTTTTTGCATGATACCATCTTCCATGTAGCCTGTTCTGGAGCTGACGAAGATGTCAACAACGTACACGATGTCGCAGAGATAGTCGATTACTATCCAAATATAATGGTGTTTCTTGTGGAGTTCGGGGAAAGATGACCTTAATATAAGAACCCATGAATTGTACACAACTGCTAAGGACACTATTAAGAGCCAGTAATAGAGTCTGTCACCTGCAACGCAGAAAATGAAGAGGAAACGAAATCAGTAATTTCATTCAATTTTTTTTTAATTCCAAACGTCGGATGCTGCTTTACCTCATTTCGACTGAGGAAATAAAAACAATACAAAATTGCTCATTTTTTGAAGCACTCTTATTATGTGAAAGGAAGGACTTGGGCGGAATTACCCTAATGATTGGGAATAGTTTTAATCGAAAATGGAAAATGAAAATGGAATGATTATCAAATTACAAGAGTACTGAAAAAAAGCACGAAAGCCCATGAGAAACCACAGGGCTTTTAAGCGATGGGCTCCCCCTTAATTTCGTGCCCAGACCTTCCACAGCCAAGCAGTTGTTTAAGTCCGTACATTTCAGCGACACGGTAGGATCTGAGTACGAGCAAATATCCCAAGCACAGTTTAATTAAAGATTCAAAAGCAACGAGTCGATAGTAGAATAGAAAATGAGTAGAACTAAAACGTTATTTTAAATCACTTTGATTATCTTTGGATGTCTTCATTTGAAGCTTCTCTGTAGCACCCCAGGGAAAATAATTGTTGAGTGCCCCCCCCCCCCCCCTCCTCAAACTCCTACCCTTTTCCTGAGCATTTTATTTTGCGGAAGTTAAAGCTCACTCAGCATGGAGCAGATGGCAGATGAATGATCCATAATAATATTTTTATCTCCGTCTAAACAGTGGTTTAAAGCAAAAGTTTTTCTTCATTTATCTACCATTACCTGGCTCAAGGAAGGCAGCAAATGGTCCTACGATCATAACATGATTTTGCAAAACATTTCAAGGAAGCAGCAAAAGAGGTGATATTCCAGATGTAGTATATGTTGTTCGCTCTTTGGATAAACACTCCTTCCACATAACTTAATATAGCCATCAGGCGAATAACCATTTTTTATACCTTCTGCATTAAAGGACATTCGAATGAAGTAATTCACTGATTACGCTCGAAAACAAACTTAAAATGTATTTTTTTTTACAAAAACAAAATCGCAACCGAAATGAAATTACAAAACTGTTTTGTGAATGATAAACAGTAGTATTTTGGGATTATCTAACGCATGATTAAAATTCAATTTAAAAGTTGGTAGCCACGGCTATATTGTGTCTGGCCAAACAGAAATTTGCAAAGCAAATTTGAAAATCCATCCGGTTCTTTTGGACATTTTTTGTTAGATCTTCTATTTGATATAGCGGCCGTTTAGCTATCAGACCACACTAACCACTACATCTTACGTCTCTGTTACTCGATTTAACCAACACTGATCAACAACATTCAAGAAACATATCTCTTATCAGTTCGATTAGTAGTTTTATATAAATTTCAACAACCTAAGGTGATACTTTCAGCGTTTGTGAGGAATTAAAATATGATTTATTATAATTATTTTCTGTATTTTTTTTGGCACATTTAACATAGAAATAAGTATCCAGGACTCCAGAAAAATATACGAACAGAGAGTGCCGGGGCCGATGAAAAGTGATCTGAACGGCTACGAAAGATCGTATTGAGGTAATCTTTAAATATGAGCCGAACATATGGTATACTTAGGCTCTATTTTGTATTTATTTTTTATTGACTAAGGAACGATTTTCAATTTGATGTTGTTGTTTGAATATAAAGATAACTAGATATCGTCTCAGGACCTAAGTCAGTTAGCAACTCTTCGGGATTTTAACCCGATGAGAACGATTTTTTCTATTTTTACTCAGTGAATCATCAAATCAATGAAATAAAATTTTTTCCTGAGCCTAAAAATTAAGTTACTTCTTTAAAAAAATAAATAAATAGAAAAAAAAAATTAACGAAAAAAGTTGAAATCAACATGAGTGATTTTACGAGGTAACTGTTATAACTCTGTTTACCTCCAGGGTCGAAGAATCTTAACCAGCCAACTTTTGTTTCTCCATCGCCGAGTAACCCAACTGAAGGGATCCTTACTCGGTTAAGGAACGCTTTTTCGGCCTCACTATATCTTCGACCTCCTTTATACCAGTACCGGAGTAGTCGCTTGTGGCGAATGTCTGCGTCCTCTTCCTCGCTGAAAGTGTCGGTGTTTGCCGAAAAGCGAACCTTTGATGTCCTGTTTGCCGTTCCTTCGTTCATTTTTCTATCGTTTTGCGTGTTGGGTGGATCTGAAAAAGGAGGAAGAGAAAGCGGTTATTTACAGGTACGTATCTGAGATAGGCTTCAGTGAAGCTGCGCTCATCGGCATCTTGTAGATATCTGCTTTTAAAACATCATTTACTTGAAGAGGAAAGATTCTGCTGCAATAATTTTGACGCGAACTTGCTTCTAGTGGGTTCGTTTACCGCCGGTCAAATTCATGAATATTATTGAAACTGGTTGTCAAATGCCATTTAAAAGTCATGCTCTGAGAGCATCAACGGGAAACCCTCTGGTCTTTAGACATGTTAGACAACTGACAGCGAGAAGGCTTACAAAACTGACGAGTGAAGAGGCGGAACTTGCGCGCAGTGAAAACTTAACTTTGATCTGCCGACTATTCAGGCCAAGTTTCTTTTTGTTTAAGTGTGACAGTAATAAAAGAGGAATTTGGCATTTTTTCTTGAGTCTTAAACAAAGGTGCACTTAAGCGAGGATAATTACGCACGAGTATAACAAGCTGATTTCAATAGACCTCCTGTCAAAACCGAAAAGTTCTCCTACCACGAAATACTTTTCTGTTTAATCCAAACAAAATGAACTGGGTTTTTATGAAGACAAAGCAAAAGGTTAGTAAAGACACAAGCGAGCAAGTAAGTTTATTGATTCACCTCTACGGTTTGTCATAATTTTCTTTATGCAATTCTAATCCAACCGGATAAAATTCTGTATCGTGAAATTTGTATACTTTTCGATAGTAACCTACCTAGAGGAGAGGCTACTGACAGGAAAGATATATTAATTCAACTTGTAGTGGCATTGGCATTTGCATCAAATTCACAAAGCTAGAAAGGGAATCCGCCTTTGCTATAATAAACAAACACACCCTACACTAAACAATGTACATGTTCGAGCAAAGTAGGCTGCCAAAGTAAAATATATCTCGCTTGTCATAAGCAAGATCTTGTTCCCGAGGTCAGATCGTTCTCTGTCTTTTTCCAACTATTTCTAAAAATAAGTCTACTCCAATTTTCCGTTGACTTCCTCGATCTATCTCTCTGCGTGCTTTTAGCGACGCAGATCTCATCCATTCACAGCTAGTGTTAAAAGTAGACTTGATATTTGAGACGAAAGTAAATGAATGGCTTAGTCAGCGAATTGAGTGAAGGCATCGAACATAATCTGCGCATGTACATGTATCCTGCAGCTGTTACTACAGCTGATAGCGTCAAACTGCGCAAGTCTGGCCATAGCGGCTAAAAGGTGATTTTCATCCATGATCTTAAGTCATTACAAAATTTATGGTTTTAACTTTTGCAGAACCCGTTTTAAGATAGTGCATAAGTAATCTCGGTTCGCTTACCACGGCTGTCAAGTTCAAGGTTAATCCTGTTTATCGCATTTAAAATTATTACTCGCTAATAGTGAGAAAAAAGTAGATTATGGATTTTCGTTTTGTTATCGGAGGACATCTTTTGTCTCCATATCGAGGTCAGGTTGAGAAGTCCTCTCACGAATGACCGGGCATTTTTGGCGAGGAACATTTTTCGAATATTTACAAAAGCACTCGTCGTTCCTCCCTGTTTTTTTTTTGTTTTGTTGCTTTTTACTCTGAGATCTTTTACATCGCTACCTCTTTTTTTTTAAATTGCCCGTCAGTGTTTACTAACGAAGGCAATAATAGTAAAATGCGAAATAATTAAGTGAATTATTCATGCGTTTGGTACGTTTTTCTATACCACGAAGAATCGAATAAGTCGTTAACGAACTGACAGCGTAGTTCATAAATTACACTTAGATTACAATCAAATATCTCGACCAAGTGAGAAATGTTCAGCATATTTTCGAAAAGAAAGGGGGTGAATCTTAAAAAGATTCCCTAAACTAAGGTCGAGTAATTTTCCTGTAGAAAAAAATATAACCTCTCGAAAGCATGATAAAATTTTGACGCAAAAATAGCATTCTGACTTTTATCGTGTAAACTGTGAAAAACAACATACCAAAGTATAGCCCGTTGTTCTATTTGCATTTTCGCTGCGGTTAAGGTAGTCACATCTTGGAGTTTGTAAGTCAAAATAACTTTGAGTAAATATGTTTCTTTTACTTTCGTCTTTTCCTTTCCAACGAAAGAATGTGTCCATACAATTTAAAGGAAAGCAATGCTAATGTTCTCGCGACCATGAGGACAAACCAGGCACTGGGCGCCGCGAAGAAGAGGTCTAACGTCACGTTCGTAAAATCTCTGTGGATAGCTGTTTTATCAAACGAAGAAAATCGATCTCACAGATTGAGTGGCAGCGCGCGCAGCTGCTAGCAGGCATTGCTGGCGTTTGCTCATTCTATTAAAGTTTACTTATTCTGCCTCTGCATGAAAAATTCATAAGTTTGAGAGATTGTTGTGATAAAAAATCCATCATTTAACCATGGAAAGCTAAAAGAATAGTTTGGTTCTAACCAGATTGAATAGCCATGAATAAGCAATTCTCAAGCGAAGTAGGCATTTTTAAACGTTTTTCGACGACTTTATGGTTGTGTGCGCTCCAGAGAGTGAATCTACGATATCTTTTCGAATTTTTATTTGACAGAGAACTTCGCATTGATTTAATCGATTTCTCGCAAGAGGTAGAAATTAACATATTCAAACATATACGCTAAGCAGAGGAGGTTCGGCTAATAACAGCAATAAATTTCCTTTACAGCAAACTGAATTAAATATCACCAAGTCTATATTGAGCAGTTTTGGCCTCAATCCGGAGAGAAATGCTTTCGACGCGGGAAATCAAATTGTCACAAAAAAATTCTCAATCACTTCCAGGAAAACTGATTTGCTATAGATGACAAAAAAGGCCTTAAATTGAGGTGAGAAAAGTACTTAATGGCTTCCAAATTTCATTGTTTTCTCTTTATAGCAGGATAAGAGGCTGATGTCAAAAAAAAACGCATAGGGAACTTGTAATATACCTGGAAAACCAATTAGTAGCGCATCCTTACGATATAGATTGCTTTTGCAGATTTTAATCCCCCGTATTATGAAATTTTTGGATTAGTTTCAGTTGGAAAAGAGAGAGCAATTTTCAAGATTGCACTCGATCGAAATAACCACCGAGAAGGCGCCCCGGGCGACAGTCAAATACAAAAGTAATTTTTTCAGGTGTTTCAAAATTGAGCATAAACTAAAACCGATACAAAACGCTTTCTCTGTCTTGGACAATGAACTGATACAAAAAAAAACTCCCAACCCAAAAACAGCGGAAATTAAAATTTTATCAGATTCAATTTCGACCTCAGAGGGAGTTTTGTAGAAAACACTGCTTTTAGCGTAGATAAGATGCGATAAAAACCATCGGCGTACCTTTTGCTTTCATGACCCGGAGCGATATATTCGATGTCAAAACTTCGCGGGAGGAAGTTCCAGTGTCCTCAGTCAATGTATAATTTTGTCAACATGAACTAGTGAAACACTCTCCAGGGTTAATCCGTGTAAATATTCGGAACCTTCTGCTTAGCAGCCGCATCTAATTTACTTGATGAGTTGCGGCTTTAGTTTACATTCAGCAAGTGGTGATTCTTCTCGTGTTTGACACCCAAGCGCCAAGTTTTACCGCGTGCCCTTATTTCACATTCTGGAGGAATGACAACTTTTCCTGTGTAATAGGCTGAGACAAGCGTTTGTATTTGTCCTAAAGCCAAAACAAATTCATATTACAAAACAATATCCGGTAGATGGAAGAATTTACTTGCTGTAAAACCTTTTATTTGCATTGTGGAATAGAAACATTTGTCTTTAATTGGGATTCATCACCCGTGAGAGCGCTTTTAATAAGGCAAGAGTTACGAACTTGTCAGGTGAGATCATAGACAAAAAGATACGTCACCTCTATGGAAACTTGACACAAGGAAAACCTATGAAGTGAATCTACACAATAGGTATCTGCCGCGAAACTTTTCAATTGTCTCAATAGGTTAAAAGCTTTTGAACATCGTTGTAATTGTTCGAAGAGGATTTTTACCGATAAAGCATTTGGCTCGGACGAAATAATTTTTTTCTCGGTTGCTACATGAAAGACTGCCTCTAATCTCGGTAAAGTATACTTTAAAAAATATTTCATACTTACAAAAAAATGGAGAAATAATTTTATAAAGATTTTTCACTTAAGAGGAAATCGTATCGGGAAACTTCTATCAGATTGCTCTAACACTTTACACGGTCAATATTGTTTGAAACGTCGTTTGTGTCACATGAAAATTTTCAGTCATATAACATTACATGTTGGATAGGGACAATCACCGAAAAACTGGTGATTACCATGGATTATCGAAGTTACATTGGATTCGTAACAGAGTCAGTCGACCGGAAAAAAAGAAGCGTTTTCAAAAAGCCGTAGATTACCTTTTAAAAAATGTATCAAACTGATTTCATTTCTTAATGTATTTTTTTTCGGTAAGACCAATATTACCTTCTTCGTCAAATAGACCACCCCGGGTACAGTTTGTAAAAGATTTATTCATGTCAGGTAAGATTTTTTTTCGTTTGGTATGTAAATTGCGTTTGTTGAGCATGGCGTTTAATACGGATATGGGGCTGAAGATTCTTAAATATCCAAGAGGATGATTATTCTGTTTTAAAAATTTCAGGTTTATATTCTATCATATAATTCTCTTTTTGTATGTTTTAAGTTAATGGCCCTGCGGCGTAAAATCTATTCGTAAACATCTGCTTTATGATGCATTTTGATTAGTTTATAAATTATGTATATTTCTATTTGAATAAATGATGCACATTTTCCTAAAAAAATCTCCAACATTTGTCACACAAGTGCTTCCCTTTGCATGAATTCTCTTGCAAAAACGCACAAGTTTGAAGCCCACAAAAATTCGACTCATTTTCACGATTTCATCATCGCATAGCGACGCCTTTCGCTTGTTGTTGAAAAGTGTTCCATCGCTAAAATGACTGATCAAGGCGTGATGCAGAATATTAACAAAAACATCCTTTTCTGATTTAAGGTAATGCAAAATGAATTTATAATAGCCATGTGTAATTCTGCATACACACTCAAGCAATAAAAAAACGTCAGTGTCGTGCAAATTTGCGAATCATGCCAGTTTTTAAATAGCAGTAGACACAAGGGCGCGTTATGTACCTGTTTAGTATTGTTTCAACTCAGTTGTTTACCGAGCATTTAGCTTTAAATTCGAATCACCATGTTAGAATCATGCTCCTTAAAAGATTTCAGAACTAAACACTGTAGGAAATATTTTCTGCAGCAGCTCTCTCTGCGTTAATTACTAAGAAAAAAGGGAGATGCCACTTTTTTCCATCTTAATTTTTTGCGCCAGCCTTACAATTGTGTCACGCGTGGAGCTTTAGGGAGTTATGGAAAATTTGCGTGTCCGATCTTTTTAGGGAAAGAATTTAACAAAGGATGTATTAGAATGACAAATTTAACAAATTTAAGTCTCGCTTTGAAATAGAAAAATTAAAAGGTCAATAGTGTAGATAAACAAATAAACAAGATCAGCATCATGACCATCATGGAAGGCGCCATCAGAATTGAAAGAACATCTTTTTTTTTCTCTTGAATCTTTTTTTTTGGCACTCCTTCGTGTGTTTGCTTGCTTGTTTAGGGATCGCTAAAAGTTTCGGAAATTTTGGTGCTGCGTCGTTAGGGGTATTACAAGATAATATGGTTTCGTCAACTGAGTTGGTAACGCAAATTGGCCAGATTTTCTAAAGCTGGCGTTTCGAGCGCTAGTCCTTGTGCAATGCGAACCTTTTGAACCTATCGCTCTGACGAACGACTAAAACCTCGAAAAGTCACCTTCAGATCAGAAATTCTTTTAAGGTGACCAATTACATAAACAACTCAGTTGATAAATCAAATTATCCTGTTTGGGGATCAGTCTATCTCCTTACCGTGTTCCAATTTACAGATGTTTACGGCTTGAGGTGCACTTTGTAATCAAAGAATAAATTTCAAAATGAATTTGGTTTGTATCGGAAAACATGACAATTCTTTACCACTGGATTGAAAAGCTAAACTGTCTTATTTACTCTAAATGGTTTATGCAGTGAGAGTTTTGCCTGATTTAATTTACGTAATCCTGCTGGTTGTATTATTATCATTATCATTATCATTATTAACTTCATTATCATTATCGTCATTTTGTTCGATCTCGCTAAGAAAAGATAGAAATGGTGAACCTCTATTGTCAAATGCGAACTCCGACTCATACATATTTACGAGAAGACTTGAAAATTGAAAAAATTGTCACCTTTGAGTTGTAGTACAAAAAGCTAGACATTTGATTCAAAACAAGCTCCAACAAAACGATTTTGTTTTCTTTTTTTATGATCTAGATATGATTTGTTTCTAAAGATGAAAACTACAAACAACAATTTACATGTTCGTTTCTTCGACCAAAGGTATCTCTGCCATGACACAAGGATAATGAATGAACAACCCTACATTGAAACTATCATAATGTTTGATGAGCTGAAGCGATGCACTATAACAACTTTTTTCACAACTACATACCAAGAAACAGAGCCGTTTTCTGAGACAGTTTTCAAAGAAAGATTGCAAATCAAAAACTATCCAAATGTATTTTGTCTGCAAGGTGCAGCTGCAGCATTACTTAGTTAGTCAAGTATGCTGTTTTTAATAGGAAGCTAAACAAAAATAAAATCAACGTTATCAACAACGTTTGCTTTCTGAATACTCACAATGATCAGGATGTTGCACCAGCGGGGAGCCGGCTTAGGAAAGGAAGTTGATATTCTGTTCGAGATGTGCTTTGCGTTTTGCTTAAGTTATTGTTTGAACACAGCTTCAAAGCTCTCGCAGATACAGTTTTTATTCGCCCTGGTCTCTGTTGAAACATATTGCTAAGATACCGAAGGACGAGTGGAAACATGTACACGAAACAATATTTGCTGAGTAAACCTCAACATCGTTTCGATTAACTACAGAGTAAAAAAAAAAAACGCTCGAATTCGAAATAATGTTATATATTAAGACGGTAACAAGACGATGAAAACGATTCTGTGTCATTCTCGGAAAGCCTGTTCAAAGAGCCGAAAATACGGTACAGTTTTTCACAAAGAGCCAAGGACAAATTAGCTCACAGCTCAAACTGTGCGATCGAGGGTAGATCAGATTTCAAAAACATAGTTACTTTAATCAGGGTAAGCATTCAGTGAATACTCTTCAATGTAGCATTCGAATGGTAATTTGAGTAATTCTTAAATCGATATCCTCTGGTATTAATATCACAGAGTGGCTAGAGCGAAAAAAAAAGGCCTTAATTGTGCTCTAAAATGAAAGAACATTTCTGTTGTGTATAGGACTCCTCACTTAAAAAAAATCAATAAGAATATATCTCTCAACGTCCCTTATTTTATTTATTCTTGGAAATCCTATTCAATATACCTTGAATGACAAGTCATAGACACTTTTGGATCCGCATAATATACGATTTAAAATTAAAATGGCAAAATATGCAAAAGTTCGTGTTATGGCTGAGTTCTTGTTCTTTTCTTTCCCCAGGAGAAAAAAAATCGGAAAATGTTTCGACCCTAGCTTTCAGCTTCAAACTGAAAGGAACCCCCGTTCGAAAAGCGAATTGAAAAAGGTAAGTTAAAGAGAAATTACAAATATTTAATTGAATATGCAAAGATAAAAAAAAGTATATCAAGTATTATTACCCTCAGGATAATTTCTTGTCTTGAAAGTCGACTTGTTTACTGGAAATGGGGTCGCAAATGCAATTATTGCATGGACAGTCAGTCTGACTGCTCATTCACAAAATCGTTAAGTCTGACTCTCCGACCCACTAAAAAAGTGAATTGCAAGATTGTTCAACTCACTGACTCTAAACAAAAAACTGCGGGAGGCTAAATCTGTAATTTTTGTATGTTGATTTGTTTCTTCTTTGTGATGTTGAAGTTGTTTGTTGAATTTTGAGGAAAGGTGTTACATCTGAACTTCAGCAAACAAAGAAGGAAGCCGCCGGGTCTTAACGAAAATAAATAATCCCACTTATACCGGAAACTCCCGTTTTGGATTAAGAGTTAGTTCGAAAAAAAAACCACAAAATGATGATTTGGCTGTAACCTCCATTGCCCCTCTGAATGCAGTAAGACAGGAGAGAGCAACCTTTCACCAGCTGCTTTTGCTCGTGTTATTCAAAACTGCAGAAACATTTTTGCATTTAAAGGAACGGTTAGACGCAAATATGACAATCGCTGAAAATTTCGTCAACAACACACGCATGACGCGCATGTTCTAAGTCCAGCGAGGTGCCGATGAAGGACTTCAAAAAAATAATCACGTCTTCATGTATACCTGCATACTTGGTTGTAAGAATACAACACAATCTTTCCCTTAAAGCGCATTTCGCAACGAAACGACGCTAACCTCTACTGTTGGAAATTATTTCTCGCTCAATTCCAAGCGGAAGAATTAACACGCAACTCGTGCGCAAAGGACTCGGAAGGGTTCGTCCCTAGTCTCTTTGGAGACACTCTCTCGTTCTCAGTCTCATTTAGGCTCCTTTATGCCTCTTGCTCGCTTGCCAATAACCTAGTGCTGTACACTGTGCATTGCTAGGGATGAGCTCGGTTTGCTGGGAGAATTAAACGGACAACCTTTATTTGCCGTAATTTGGCCACTCAGTTGAGTGGCCGTTTATTTTTAATACCAATTCAAATTACAGTAAAACCGGAAATAAAACCTAATCCCAGCAAAGGTGAGGGCAAACACGCCAAACCCCTGATCGACCCGAGAGACAGGGCCGCCCCACCAGAAGCCCAGGCAATGCACAGTGCCCAAACAAAAAACTATTGCAAGAAAGCAACGCGGCTCACACTGGCAAGGAAACCAGCCTAGTGCCCCCTGGCGAGAATGATAGACTGAAAGCTAGTATCCATGGTACATGAATGGCACAGAGTAATAACACACCCGCCGAGTAAGTATCATGACCCATGCTGACAAAGCCAGAACTGTACATCCCTTCCATACACAACCAGAGAGGTGACAACCTGGCCACACAAAAGTAACAACAACTGGGGAAATCAAATAGTAATGATTGCACTGTGACTGTCTCAGTGAGCATCACAACTAGCTGACTGATATTAGGTCATGCCGATTGAAAGTATTACAACGAGCGTGTAGCTAGTCGTTGGCACCAACTGTAAGTTTGCCTAGAGCCGCACGGTGGAATGTTTCCCTCAGTGGACTATTGAGTTCAGCCTTGTTGGTTATGCCAAATATTTTCGTCTCAACGTCTTAGGACAGGAGTCCGTACAGCTTCAAAATACGATTTAAGTCTTAACAACCGAGCTAAGGTGAAGCGAGAGCAAAGGGCCCAAAAACTCGTGGGTAACTTGTATTATTAAAAACTGGATCATTGGATAATGCAATTCAAGAGTTTTTATTGGCTCAGCCATTATGGTATATGAGCCAATATACCATAATCTAATTTTTGTACATTGTTAAAATCCGGTTTCTTCTCACAAAACAAAGTCGAGAAGATTTGTCTAATATCTTGGGGGCGTTTTTTAATAAAACAATTATTCCACTCTCGCTTGTTGGATATGAGATGATTATAGCCAACTCGGCGCTACGCGCCTCGTTGGCTATCTATCATCTCATATCCAACGCGCGCACGTGGAATAATTGTTAATTATCCTGAATCAAATCGCCCGATCTCAGCTAAGGCAATTAAAATGGAGGCGATGTTGCGAATGTTTTCAGGATCGCACTAGATTGTTTTATCCACTCTAAGCCGCCCCGTCCAAGAAGTACTACTAAAACACAAAGAAAAAAACTGGCACACCAGTCTAAGTAAAGCCTTCCAAGTGATGTTTGGATCGCTGTTCCTGCAATCTAAATGCTGGCGAAAGACTAATATTAGACGCGTACACGCAGTGTTCGGCCGCCGCCATGTGATTAGCCTGTATGATTTGTTTGCGATTGACTGCGCTAAATTCAAGTAAACACAGCCTGCTTAACTGGAAGGTGAAACGGACAACTCTCGTGACGTCCTTCTGAAAGGAGATAAGGAGGATTCCTTCTAAAAGCCCTTCAGTCTTCGGTAAAATGTTTGCCCTGCACCGAAGCTTAACTAAAAGAGGCCCGAAATCACATGTTCGGATGTTTAAGTATCTGCCATTTTAAGTCCCGGTAATAAATGTCATTTTGGTTGCTCGAGGAGGAGTCATAGGTGGTATATCTATGGTACATCCCGAGTAACTGAAATGATTGATGCAGGTCTAAAAGTCTGCTTTCATTTTCTTTTTTTTTTTGGCCTTAAGAGTCAATCTTGAAATAGATTTTCAAAAAATAATTATAAAGAAGATGTCTGTTTTTCAATCACCATTGTAAAACTTTTAAATGATTTATAAGCCGCTAATTTCTTTCTCAACTCAGTTGTTAAAAGCAAATAGAAAAACATCATTGTAGAACATTCACGTCATTTTGCCTCTAAGGCCGTAAAACCATAATTTGTTTCTGTCCTAAAGTTCAAATCAAAATTTTTCCCATGCAGCAGTTGAAAACTTCTTTTCGTGCCATGAAGTGACCTAGCCGTGATAGTCGATGGTACCATTTATAGAATTGCACCTTAATGTAAGCTATGGTGATATTCAAAGGCAGCCTTTTTTCAACCATTTTCTCTTTTTATCACCCATTTTGTGGTCGAGTTCACCTCACCTAAAAATTTATCAGGAAACACTTTTCCTCGCCGAAAAACAAGAAAAGGTAAGTTTATATACAAGTACATGAAGCATGCATGGTCGGAAAAAATCGTTAATTGGATACGAAATGACAACCGTAACTCGCAACTTACTACTGAGAAAAAACAACATAAGTCGGAAAATCCGAATTCATTTTCTTCTGAAGTTCTTAAGGGTAAAATTAACGTTTACCTCGATTCACTTGAAAAAACTCATATCCAAAGCAGCGAATTCATGCAGCTCTGGCGTTATCCGGTATTTGAACCTTTTCTTTGCCGCCTTACCGATTCGTCAAAGGTGTGACTCGATTTTTCATCAGTGTTTTGCCTTTGGCAGTTAGAATCGTACGCAGATCATTCATCATGTCTAAACTAATCGGAGCCAAATAAAAGCCACTTGATATCTTCATCACGCGTTCGTAAGGTCGTAGATATGATTTGGTGGTTTCAACCATGATATATCTAAATGTTATTACTGCAAGATATGGAACTCGACCTTGGGTCCACTTTTTCTTTACATGATAGGTTCTTTAATAGGAAGAAATGGCAGCTTTGCACAATAATTAACGCCAAAAACTTGTTCCATGGTAGTTCTACGGTCGTTTGCAGCCAAGTAACACTAAATTTTATCGCCAAATTTACAAGTTGCTTTCACAGAGGCGGCTTAGAAAGCCTGAAAACACCTTAAAATTAAATTATTTAGCATTCAATTTGGTGACAGAACATATTTCACGCCTGCACTAAATTTTTCCACGAACTGAAGCCATTCCGCAATGAAACAAGCGATCAGATTATCGGTTGTCTAACCCTCTTTTTGTCACGAAACCCAACGAGTTTGCGAAAGTGGTTTGTTTCTAGATGATAAAAAACCATCCTGTTTCAGAGTTGAGATTAAATCTCCTTGGCCGAGCCATGGCGCCTTAAACGACTCCAACCAGAGCGAGGCTCCAAATCAAGTGTGCCCTTACGAGAAATAAACAAATACTAACTTTGTAAACAATAGACAGTGTAAAAAGTATATAAAAAAGTATATAAAAAAAGTATATAAAATAATAAAAGAAAAAACGAAAACGATAGGAATAAATCCCTCATGCGGCCGAAACAAAAAAAGACATGAGCGAGGAGGAGCTTTTTCAACAACTTAATGACAACATTCGCGCAGAAATTGCCATCCACGTCAACTTGGACACACTGAAGAAAGTGAAGATGTTTGAGCATTGCTTTTATGAGGTTGTACGGTCGCTCGTTTTTCTACCATTAAGGTGAAGGCACGAACTTTGTTACAAAAAGCATTCTTTGATTTGGGATTCCATCCCCATTACTTTCCCAACACTGCTGACTCGAGGCCTGATATTCATAACGAGGGGTTCTACTTACTTCGCTGCATAACTCAGTCAAGATTTAGTGCAAGAATATTAATACTGTCAAAATTTACGTTTTTTGTGAGTAAGTAACAACAAGCAAGGAGAGAAAAAATCAACCACGGAACGGACGCTCGCTTAAGTTCGCGTTCGTGATTCTCCGCGCCTTTTGTTTCGCTCGCACACTGGACAATTATTTTTGAAAGGAAAGATGGTCTGTCGATAGACTTAAGTTACAACTATTCTTTGACGATTGTAATGATATTTTTACCGATACAGGTATTTTGTTTGAACATAAAAGATGCAAAGACCGTCGAATCTCACTCCAGACGAAAGTCCCCTCACTGGGGTGAATCACGCATCTGGTCAAGAGGAGGCTGCTGGCCCACAAATCCCCAGGGTGGTTATTGAGTCCACTGGACAGACGCGATTTGCGAGCTCCGTGCTTAGAGTTTTATCTATGCAACGTTTCTACAAGAAAACCGGCAGAAGATCACGCGATTCATGGCTCGAGCGCTACACTGGAACATATCAAGAAGACAGAGACTGGCGCCGACCGCTCATGCGCAGATCTGCTTCAAACTCACCCCAAGTTCAGAGCCCTACATCGGAAGGGACGGGAAGTTCTCGAGACGCATCAGATGCCCGGCTTGACCAGGGAAGTTGCAATTGCACGCCAGTATTTGACCCTTCAGGGGACTTGTACTTCTTTTGGCTGATCGTAGTTGTTCTCGGAATCTTGTACAATTATTGGACGATTATTTTCCGCGTGGCTTTCTTCGTGCGTGAGCAGAAGTATGTAATACCATTCATGGCGATCGACTATAGCTGCGACTTCATATTTCTCCTGGATATCATTGTGCAATTTCGTACGGGGTACTTTCTCGACGGCAAAATAGTCACGGATACCAAACAACTAGCCAAACATTACGTGAAATCTCGGGGTTTCTTTCTGGATTGCGTTTCCATCCTACCAATCGACCTTCTCTTTTTGGTGCTGGGCCCAAGGCCTGCTCTGCGATTTGGTCGGCTCCTTAAAGCGCACAGACTTTTCCTCTTTTGCGACCGCGTTGAGATTTACAGCGGTCGCCCCAAGCTGTTTAACCTTTTGAAGCAGATTCATTACCTGTTTCTGATAATTCACTGGGTTGCTTGCTTCTACTTTCTTCTTTCATATATGGAGGGATTTGGAGCTGACAAATGGCTCCATCCCATGCTCCAGGGTCAGTGGGAAGAGGTGAGTAAAAACATATGCCTACTTGAATAGACTATTTCCGAGATGCCCTAGTCGTCTGTTTCAAAGCGAAGGTGAGCGCGAAGCCTTGGATACGACGACTTATTTTACATTCTTTGGAAATTTAGACTCTGTTACAACTGAAGGCTTTTCGACTGGTCTCATTCCGAAAATCGGGGTTTTTCGGAATTCGGAAATGGTTCATCGAAACACACAGCTTAAGCAATATTTTCGGGGTAATAGTGCAGACGACTATGCCTAATTTCGAAATATTATTCCGTCCATGTATCAAAAACATTCATGGCATTTTCTCGTGAAAATTCACGTCACAAAATTTTGGTAATTTTACGTTGCAGTTTCTCAGAGAATTGGGAGAAAATGCAAAAAAAAAATAAAACTTATCGGCTTTCGTGAACAGTTGTGTTCAACTTTCTAACTGAAGATATCAGATAACATAAACCAATCAACATCATTCATCCAACCCATTTGTTGGGCCTATTCCTAGTAATCACAAAGGTAAATGCGCAGAGAAAAAATAGAGGGAGGTCTGAGGTCCGGTTACGCATGGAACGCGTAGGGGACGCGCCACTTTTGCGTTCCGCTTAAGGTCCTCTTTGTTTACAAGCTTAACACCTGTGACTCGGTCATTTAGATATTCGACGATTTGACGAGCCATTTATATCTATTTTAAGGAGTTTACATTTGTTACAAGACGATATTGAGAGTGTTCTTAACCTCTTTTTAGGTCGGTCCTCAATATCTCTACAGCCTGTTTCGTTCACTGGTATCCATGACAACAGTGGGTACAGGTAAACAGGTCTCACCCCAGACCACCATGAGCCTAATGTTCTGTATCTTCACGTACTTATGTGGGGTTCTGATATTTGCTACCATTGTCGGCAACGCAGCAGATATGATTGTTGATCTCAGGAGACATAGAGAGAAATACCATAGAAAGGTCTGTTGTTGTTTCTCGTCCTCTTTTCTCTCAGTGTGTCTGTTTGCCTCTGGCTGTCCAAGTTAGTCTATATCTATCTTTCCGTCTCTGTGAATCTATTTCCCAGTCTGTGTCTCTGCATTTGTTACTGTCTGTTTCTTTGTCTGTCGTTCTGTATGAGACTGTCCCGTTTTTGAATCTGTCAGTCTGTATGTCCATCTTCCTATCTCTATCTTTCTGGCTGTCCTATTTCTGTATTTCTCTCTCTTTGCCTGCCTGCCTACCTGTTTGTCTGTCATTGTATCCCTCTCGGTCTCTCTCAGACTGTCCCCTGCGTGTGTACTTCGTTTATATGTCTCTGTGTCTTATGATTAAAGTGTCCCGTTTGTTTTTCTGTTAATCTGTCATCTCTCTTTCTTTCTTCGCCTTTTTGTCCGTGTCTGTTTTTTTTTTTGTTTTATTTTTATTTTCAGTCATTTCATGTGTTACTACCACAGATTTCCTTAGTAGCAACCAGTCATTATTTATTGGAGGGGGAGGCAGAGGATCTTGGGAGGTCACATGCTTTTCAGGGGGAACCGAGGGGGGATCAGTCGTCAGTGACAGAGTAATAAGGGGGACTATAGAAAATTGACTACTAATGAGAGAGATCATTACAATACTACAGAGCCTTGGAGGGGATCTGGTAGATTTTATCATGGCACAACCAAAATCCGACCTTGCTCTCAGGGCCCACCCCTAACTGAGAGAAAAGGACTTGGGAGCGAGGTTGAACCAAAATCCTCCGACGCCTGCCCCACTCCCACCCCGAGTACTAAATAATGACCGGTTTCTAATTAATCCAGGGATATAATCGAAGATGACATCCCTGCGTATGGCAGTTTATTTTTCAACTTAGATGCATTTAGTAATCAACTAAACAGGTGTGTCGTTTATTTTCGACCCGCAATTCTGATATACAGCTTTAGCATTTCAGCCCTTAGGCACATACCGCAAAGTCATTTAGCAAACTGCTGAGCACATAGCTTGCTAGCAGACTACTTATTACACCATTAACTTCGTATAATTTCATATCAAATATGACTATATAACTATGACGTCACTAACTTCAACACCTGGAAGTCGATCTGCTGCAAATGCAGTAGGTCACGTGATCTTCTATTAGTTGGTAACTGCTGCTATTAGTACTTTCTATCGGCCGCATGAGGGATTTATTCCTATCGTTTTCGTTTTTTCTTTTATTATTTTATATACTTTTTTTATATACTTTTTTATATACTTTTTACACTGTCTATTGTTTACAAAGTTAGTATTTGTTTATTTCTCGTAAGGGCACACTTGATTTGGAGCCTCGCTCTGGTTGGAGTCGTTTAAGGCGCCATGGCTCGGCCAAGGAGATTTAATCTCAACTCTGAAACAGGATGGTTTTTTANTTGTGTCCCTTTGAACTTCAGTCGTATAATAAATCTCTTATTAACCAAGCTTGCTCGGGACCGTACTGGAAGAGTATCGGCCCTCGTTCTTTTTTGTACGGACCCCGCTGCGCTCGGTCCGTACTGTCAAGACCTCGGGCCGATATTCTCCCAGTACGGCCCTCGCGCTTGGTTAATAAGATATATTTATCTTAGCTTCCCAGTCAAATGTGCCTTTGTCTTTTCTATTATTTTCCTGCCGCTAAAGATTCCCGCCTTCAGGGCCATGACCCTCGTAAATGGCTTGTGGCAGACAAGGAAACTCTTAAGCGTCGCCTGTCACTCATTGAGGCCAAAAACGAAGTCAGGGCTCTAGCCAGCAGATTCCGAAGAGAAAACGGTAACTCTACGAATCCTCGAGAGATTGTGGCTGCCATCGCTGAACGAGCGAGACAGGAAAGACCTGATGAAGATGCAAGAAAGGTAATCAAAGAATTTTTAGCAAAGGACAGAGGAAGTAAAATCCACAAGCGAAGCACGATGTCGCACGAAAGCCTTTTGGCAAATAGAAGCCATTATGCTGACAGCGGGCGTGAAAACTGTCTCAACGACGCCTCAGATGCGGAAAATTGTGCCAACGATCAAACGAGAAAAAGTCAAAGAAGGTTTTTCAGTCGACCCCATTCTCGAACACTGGAGTCTAAACCCGCCTCCCCAACAGGTAACGATATTCCATTGTTGACCTTCAAAGAGAACGATGGCATCTTAGATCAAAAGAGTGGATCGCAGCCTAAAGATCATTCATCAAATCCTGTTGCATTCACACTTAACAGCACTAAAGAAAAAGGTATAAGGCCTCCTGTTCCTAAAAAAGGAATATTAAAGAGAGCCAGCGGAGAATCATCAAGCTGGCGAAGCAGCGACTCAATGGAAACTTCTTTATCCGCGCTCGAGAACGCGAAGAGCAATGAAGAAAATTTGACTCCTTCTGGGCAAAAAAATTCGACTCGTAGTGAAAAAAATATAGAAGAGAATGCTAAAATTCCGAAACAAAAGAGCAAGTTTAAAGTGCCATTTCTGAAGGAACAAAAACAGGATGACGTAAAAATACTCTTGGCTACTCCAGAGAATAGCGAAATAGTGGAGGACTCACCCAAGTTGGATCGCGCTGCCAACCGAATGAAGTTTACGGAAAAGAACCCATTTACAGAAATAAAATTGATCAGCGAGTTAGATTTCATCGCTCCGGATAAACGTTGTGCATGTCAACAAGAAGCAGGAACCAAAAATGAACGACTGTCTCCTAATTGCCTTGATTCGGAGTGTCAATCCGCTGCCCAAAAAAATTACTCGAGCGCGGGCTCTTGTCCTTCGATGCCGGCGGTTATAGATCCCGGCAAGGGTGACTCAATGGTAACAAAATAATTCCAATACCCCGGGGAGGTACTCGTAATGCACTGAGCTGTAGGAACACAAATATTTGATTTGTGCATGTACCCATATTCGTCTCGGTTGATCAAGGACCAGTCAACATCTCTCACCCGGGGGGGAAGGGGTCGAAGAGTTTTCGGGGGAAAACATGATTTTCAGGGCGGAATGGGGGGGGGGAGATCATTCGTCGCCAACAAAATGTAACTGGGGTATTATAAGAAATGAGGGGAATCATAAGAATACTACAAACCCTATGGGAGGATAAGCTAAAGTTTATCGTGACACAACCAAAGACCTCCAACGCTACTCACAGGCGATAGGTAATAGACTGTCCCCTTGCTACTAAACCTTGGTACTTAATATTGTTCAGATCGTATGAAATTTTTGCGTGACTTCAAAATCAAATTACAACTCGTAATTAGGACTGTCTTGTTATTGTTATTTAATTATAAGAATTAAAGGAAAATGATTCATTTCCATTATTCATTTTTTACCCATTATTCATAATATTTAGTGTCGAAACGAGTTCCTGTAGATTTTGACCGCAGTGTTACAACTTAATGACAACATTCGCGCAGAAATTGCCATCCACGTCAACTTGGACACACTGAAGAAAGTGAAGATGTTTGAGCATTGCGATCCAGGTTTTCTGCGCGAGCTGGTTTTAAAGTTGAAGCCCATGTTATGTTCCCCAGGTAAGACTTCCCTGTATCATATAAAGAAGAAATAAGCCAAAAGGAACTCAGCTTAAGGACATGCGACTGGGTTAAAGCGCGGAAAAATTTCGCGTGCGCGAAAGAGTCCGCGTGATTACATTTAGTCTGGTATATGATAAGTTTAAAATAAAAAGGAAGGCGTTCTCATTAATCAAATATCTGAGAAAATATTGAAAGGTCAAAGATCACGCACTTTATTAAACTAAAAAGAAACGTTCATATTTGGATTCTAACTTTCGGTTTATGCGTGTTTTCGTTTGATTCTGTATTATTTTTGTTCGTTATCAATTGTAGGCGATTATGTCTGTCGTCAAGATGAAATAGGGCGTGAAATGTACATAGTCAATCAAGGCGAGTTAGCGGTTGTCGACAAGAGGGGAGCACCTTTAGCGAAACTTTCCGCCGGTCGACATTTTGGAGAAATAAGTATTCTTGACATAAAAGGGATTGGAAATCGTCGAACTGCTTCTGTCCGTTCCGTCGGATTTTCCGATCTTTTCCGGCTATCAAAGGCTGATCTAGAGGAGGTTCTCGCGTTCTACCCAGAGGAGAAAGAACAACTGGCGAAGATCGCTCGGCAAACGTACGAGAAACAGAGAAGAGAGAGATTGAATCAAAAGGTAGACAATGACAACTTGGACAAAGATCAATCGGGTAAGAAACATGAAGTTGACAGAAAAAAGCTTTAGAGCCTGTAGGCATTGTTCAAACTGGCCTTATCCGCCCTCCTGTAGAAGGAAAATTGGTTCTCTTAAGACCTCATCAAACGTTTAAATGCACAACATCCTTGCCATGTTGGACCGCTCTGCGACTTGAAGCCAAGTAATTGAGAGGACGTAAATCCAAAATTTTTACGCAAACTGTCAACGTTAAGTAATCACTAGATATCATCGAAAAGAGCAATGTTAAACGATGCCTACAGGCTTATTCAGCGTTTACTCGTTCTCAGAGCCACGTCGCTATTATTTCGCTTTGAACAAAAAGAAGTTAAATGACTTACTAAGCAGACTACACAAATGAAACTGAAAATACAGGTTTTTGTTTTGGTGTTTTGATTTTCTAAAAAGATGTTGGGTGCATCGAAAGTTTTTTGTGTTCATGTTCCACCAGTTTGATTAAAACTTTCAAGCGGTGAATAGTCAGACCATGTGATGAGACATTCCGGACTGTGGAACGTGAAATATTTAGTCCACGAATCATGGGCGCTGAAATAAGTTAGATCACAAAAAAGAGACTGGGAAGTGAATCTAAAGCCTGAACTCGTAGTCTTAAAATAAGTGAGGAGAATTTGCTACCTTTCTAAAATCAAGAAATGAATAGATATTCTAGTCTTCTCGGATGAGGACGAATAAACCGTAGGCCCCGTCTCCTGCAGGGTTAGGGGTAGGAGACGTTAATTTCCCAGGTGGGATGGGTGGGAATTGGCCCTGAAAAGCCCCTATGGGGAGTGGTCAATTAACCTATGTATGTATGTATGTAGTGTGCTGTAGCCGAGCGTTTCTCTGTTTTATTACACGACTCGGGCAGTCAAAGGGCCAATAACTAAAATCAACCAATCAAAATGCTCTATTGCCGGTCCAATATTCTCTAAGTATTGGACCGGGCACTGTCCCGAATGGTCCCGAATGATACCGCACTTGTGTCCCTTTGAAATTCAGTCGTATAATAAGAGATTTATTAACCAAGCTTGCTCGGGACCGTACTGGAAGAGTATCGGCCCTCGTTCTTTTTTGTACGGACCCCGCTGCGCTCGGTCCGTACTGTCAAGACCTCGGGCCGATATTCTCCCAGTACGGCCCTCGCGCTTGGTTAATAAGATATATTTATCTTAGCTTCCCAGTCAAATGTGCCTTTGTCTTTTCTATTATTTTCCTGCCGCTAAAGATTCCCGCCTTCAGGGCCATGACCCTCGTAAATGGCTTGTGGCAGACAAGGAAACTCTTAAGCGTCGCCTGTCACTCATTGAGGCCAAAAACGAAGTCAGGGCTCTAGCCAGCAGATTCCGAAGAGAAAACGGTAACTCTACGAATCCTCGAGAGATTGTGGCTGCCATCGCTGAACGAGCGAGACAGGAAAGACCTGATGAAGATGCAAGAAAGGTAATCAAAGAATTTTTAGCAAAGGACAGAGGAAGTAAAATCCACAAGCGAAGCACGATGTCGCACGAAAGCCTTTTGGCAAATAGAAGCCATTATGCTGACAGCGGGCGTGAAAACTGTCTCAACGACGCCTCAGATGCGGAAAATTGTGCCAACGATCAAACGAGAAAAAGTCAAAGAAGGTTTTTCAGTCGACCCCATTCTCGAACACTGGAGTCTAAACCCGCCTCCCCAACAGGTAACGATATTCCATTGTTGACCTTCAAAGAGAACGATGGCATCTTAGATCAAAAGAGTGGATCGCAGCCTAAAGATCATTCATCAAATCCTGTTGCATTCACACTTAACAGCACTAAAGAAAAAGGTATAAGGCCTCCTGTTCCTAAAAAAGGAATATTAAAGAGAGCCAGCGGAGAATCATCAAGCTGGCGAAGCAGCGACTCAATGGAAACTTCTTTATCCGCGCTCGAGAACGCGAAGAGCAATGAAGAAAATTTGACTCCTTCTGGGCAAAAAAATTCGACTCGTAGTGAAAAAAATATAGAAGAGAATGCTAAAATTCCGAAACAAAAGAGCAAGTTTAAAGTGCCATTTCTGAAGGAACAAAAACAGGATGACGTAAAAATACTCTTGGCTACTCCAGAGAATAGCGAAATAGTGGAGGACTCACCCAAGTTGGATCGCGCTGCCAACCGAATGAAGTTTACGGAAAAGAACCCATTTACAGAAATAAAATTGATCAGCGAGTTAGATTTCATCGCTCCGGATAAACGTTGTGCATGTCAACAAGAAGCAGGAACCAAAAATGAACGACTGTCTCCTAATTGCCTTGATTCGGAGTGTCAATCCGCTGCCCAAAAAAATTACTCGAGCGCGGGCTCTTGTCCTTCGATGCCGGCGGTTATAGATCCCGGCAAGGGTGACTCAATGGTAACAAAATAATTCCAATACCCCGGGGAGGTACTCGTAATGCACTGAGCTGTAGGAACACAAATATTTGATTTGTGCATGTACCCATATTCGTCTCGGTTGATCAAGGACCAGTCAACATCTCTCACCCGGGGGGGAAGGGGTCGAAGAGTTTTCGGGGGAAAACATGATTTTCAGGGCGGAATGGGGGGGGGGAGATCATTCGTCGCCAACAAAATGTAACTGGGGTATTATAAGAAATGAGGGGAATCATAAGAATACTACAAACCCTATGGGAGGATAAGCTAAAGTTTATCGTGACACAACCAAAGACCTCCAACGCTACTCACAGGCGATAGGTAATAGACTGTCCCCTTGCTACTAAACCTTGGTACTTAATATTGTTCAGATCGTATGAAATTTTTGCGTGACTTCAAAATCAAATTACAACTCGTAATTAGGACTGTCTTGTTATTGTTATTTAATTATAAGAATTAAAGGAAAATGATTCATTTCCATTATTCATTTTTTACCATTATTCATAATATTTAGTGTCGAAACGAGTTCCTGTAGATTTTGACCGCAGTGTTACAACTTAATGACAAAAGTCTGATAATCTATCCTATTTACGTCAAATGATTGAATGCTCCAGTTCTTGGTAATATGGTTCTTCAATTATCTTTTCACAGGAGGAGATTTAAGTTTTTAAAACTACATTAATTATTTTATCGAGTAACACTAATTCATTCTGCGCAAATTCTCTCTGTTTTTATCAAGTGAAGAAAGGTTTAAATATCATCATTAAATACTCTTAATCTATTTATTGTGCGTTGTCTTTAGCAGACATAAGTTGTGTCCTGTAGGTAACGAGAGGAGACGCGGCACGAAAATGTCGCTCGGGGATTCCAAATAAATGGAAATACGCAAGAAATAACCTCTTCATGTTTTGCCAAATTTTAGGACTTTGCAAAAGTTTTCCACCCATAATTATCCATCCTTTACTATCTTCAGAAAACCACAGGAGCAAGGTATTACAGTTATTATAACAATGGCTTGTTTCGTATATTTTTACGCGTATTGAATTCCAATGTTTTTTCTTTCCTCGATAGTAATGTAGGCAGGTGCAACACTACAGTAAAAAAAAAATGAAAACAGGTACATGGTATCTCTGAAACTAACCACCACTGATTTATTTGCACTGAGCGGAAGTCACGTAGAAGACTTCTAATAAACAAAAGTTGTATCAGTTGATACCAAACAAATATCCCATGTTTGCCTCGCAGATCTAGTCTTATTATTGTACAGTTTCACATCTAAACTCTTTACAAGTATATCAGGTAGCTCGGCTACGATGTCTGACAAAATTTTGCGCCGAAGATGGGGTTTCATTTCTAAGAGCAACTGTGCCCGCCTACAACATCCATCACTGTCAATTTGTTAAATAATATATTTTTGCTTCACATCTCCGGTTTAATTACAAATGATTAGCTTAAATTTCAAGCTTTACTCATCAAAATTATTTGATAATAAACTCACAACCATCCTGTCGCGCACGATGTCATTTCAATGGCCCTTCGCCTTGACCGCATGAGTAACAATAAAATAGAGCGTAGTAAAAAAAAAAAAACAATCGGGGTATTCTTTAATGTATTCGTTTAGGAATTTCTTTCTCGAAAACTCTCTAAAGATCCGTTTGTTTTGAAAATTCTGCCGGCGAAAACGGATCAGGTTTCGAAATATAATGAAAACCAGAAATGTTCCATTCATCCTGTCCCTTGAGGTTCTTATCTGATTAACTGAGCTTTTCTCTTTAAATTCGCTGTCAACATTATTATTGGGTTTATTCACAGTGTTTCGAATTAAATCTTTTCACAAACGTCACGGCCACAACAAAGGCACCCGTACGGGTCCAATGTTGGAGAAAAAGAATCTTACTAATTGGGTTTGAAGACCCAAGAAATGCTTAAAAGGTTTGGAGGAAAGGAAAAATTGTAACTCATTAAAACAACATCACAATCGATCCACAAAACATGCTTTCTCACAGCGAGATGAATTTCATTTCAAAACAAATACTAATGCCAGCTTGGCTTCTCATTATTTTTTCTTTGTTTAGGGAAACCCTGGACTGAAGCTTTGTTTCAAAAACAAAACTGAAATTTGGTAAACAATCGCTTTTAGCGGTGAGGAGTAGTGTCTTGATATTGTGCGGTTTTTTTCCCCGTGACTCAAAGCCAAGAAAATAAAGAAGATATAGGAACCTGGCAAGTAATTTCAAAATTAATCATCGAATTTTTCTCAATGCTTGTCATCTATGCCTTTTAATAAATTGTATGTCACAAGAACGCTTGCAGGATATTAAAAATATGATAATCATCGATGAAAGGAAAGCGTAATTTACAGAACATGTCATTTCCGGAAAATGGCCAACTCGATTGTGGTTCATAAATGCATATTACAATGCGAGCTGTCACTTTATTCACCGCACAAAATCTCTTCCTAAATTAATATTTTCTTATTCTTCACATAATGATCCTTTTAAATAAAACGATTTTCGCCTCGGGTACTTTGTTCGTGTGTCATGTGTACTTTTCTCCTTTTAATTTAAACTTTCGAAAACACTTGAAATACAAAATAAAAATCATCGCTAAAAGGATGCATCGAAGCTATTTCATCGACTTTTTCGTCTCGAAGAAGAAGCTTTTCTATCGCGACGCTGTAGAATGTTAGAAGAGTTTTCAATACTCGTGCGAAAATGAGCCGCGAAGCGGAAGAGTGGGAGAGCTACTGTTACCGTGCCTAGAACAGCACAGATAGCCCCCATAAACTTCCCCGGTGTTGTGACAGGAACTTTATCGCCATAACCAACCGTACAAATTGTTATTATTGCCCACCAAAATGCATCGGGAATACTCTTAAAGTCGCTATCATCCCGGTCGTTCAGTTCTACAAAAAATACTGCACTCGAACCTAAAATGACAAAAGTTGTGGCAAATGTTACCAAAAGGCCTAAGTCCTTGAGGCCCGATGCGACAGTAATAACCAGGATTTTCATCCCTTCGGAGTACCGTAATAACTTTAATATTCGAATGACCGCAAAAGTTTCCAGTAAACGGACTACCACGGTGGCCGAGGGCCAAGCCATTTTCACAATGAGTTCTAAATAGAAAATCAAGATCGTAGCAAAATCAGCGCAATTTGGCAGCAATTTAAAATATTCGCTTTTATTTGGGGATGCGAGTAACCGCACAGCGCACTCTAAGGTGAACCAACTGTAGCAAACAAGATCGAATGAAAACCAGTCATCATCATATGGCTCTGGTTGAAGCGATGCGACAGTTTTCAGACAAGAACCTGCTAAAGATATGCTAATAAACACCTGCGAGAGAACTGCCAGAATTTTCGCAGCCAGAGATGAATTGGGAAACTCAAACAATTCCCAAAGTGTCCTCTGCCAAATATTGAGAGGACGCGAGCGATTGTAATCGCCGAGTAGAACACTTTCCAACTTTTCACAGCTGTTTGGCTCAACGGGGAGCATAAAGAACTTAACTTCTTCATCAAATACTTCTGATGGCACATTGTCCGGATAAACTAATCTCCCTTCGTTTTGATAGTAAAACAATATACCTTCGAATGCTTGTCGGTGACGATCGAAGAAATACTCCTCGCGCTGAGAATCAAAGTATTTGCTCCTTTTCTGAGGACAGCCTAGTAGCGACTGAGGGAAATGTAGCAACTTGCTCTCGCTTACTTCGAAGATCGCCCCGCTTACATTGATTACGATGCGACCACCATTCTCTTTAACCCCATTGTTTGTCTCCATTATGAAGCTAAGGCTTCCCACCGGCGTGAGACTTGAAAATGCCAAAAAAAGCACGCTCGGAAATGGGCGATTTTTTCTTCCTGCGCTGCAAACCCGATTCCGGTTTAGTTTTTGCAGGCGAATGAGAAATTGCCAGTGATGTGCATGTAAACACTTCTAGGCCGATTTGACATCAATATCCTCCGCATATTCATAATAGTGAATAGATTCCAGAAACCATGTTCTTGCACTTGGCATTTTTAGCGCTAATTGCCCCCTTTGTAAAGTTAATCACAATAGAGTCATTTCTGTCGCGTTCTACAGCGGTCACGTGAAGTCTAAGCAACCAATCGACGCATCGGTGAAAATAATGGCAAAAAAGGTTTCTTCCGAAAAATTACTTGCTTTGCTTGTCAGACAGGTCTCCCACGAAATTCACATTTTGATTAAATACTGTTTGACACCTCGCTCTGTTGTTCTAAACTTGTCAAATTTGTAAAAATTTTCGCTTTTTCTTAGACTTGATTAAAATTATCATATTCAAAATTTTGATTGCAATGGTATAATATTAAATCGTACAAGTATTAACTCTGTTGCCCTCTTTCCCAGAACACAACAATTGGGGCTTAGGTTATTTCGCTTAAAAAACTAAATTAGATTTTCTTAAAAGTGTGATGCACTCTAAACCTCGCTGAAATCGAATTATATGATCTCATTTCTTAGCATGCAAATCTGTTTTAACTTATCATTACGATTTTTTTTAGATCATTTTATTTTGAGATTCGACGCAGTTAGAATAATTTTCTACGGTACAAGCTGTCAAAATAGATGCTTTCCGAAAAAGAAAAAAACCTTCAACATAAAGACTGCAGGTGTACCTATGACAACGGAGTACAAAGATAAAAAAAGTATGGGCCTACTGTGTATTTTCTCATCTCCAGCCGCTGCAAAACACATTTTAATTTCTGACAAGCGTATTGTTATCCTTAGAATTCTGAGAACAAACGTAACAATATTTTCACCGAAAATGCCGGAGAAAGATGCGTCGTAATTTTAGCGGAAATATAAATAGCATGTTCTGAGCGGAGAAATGTTAATTCTAGAGGCCGTGAATTGGCAAAGAGTAGAAATTCGTTGTTCTTTATAGCATTCCCTCGGGCTTGTTTACCAACTATTAGCTAGTCCGCATGTTTTTCATAAACCTTTGCCAAACATAGTTGCATTTAACCTGTAGTTTCGGGAGTCCTATGAGGAATTTGCTGAAAAAAACAAAACAAAAAAACGGGGAAGTTTCGAGGGAAAAAAAATTAACTTTTCCTTTCTTTTGCGGTTCCGTCATTCAAAACTCTCACAAACCGCCGGCTGGCAGAGATGAATCAAATTTAGAATTCTTCTTCAATTAGATTTGATATCTCAATGATTTGTTGCGCTTCACTGCCATGATTTATGGGTTGTTTTTACGAAAACTTCTTGTTTTAGTGTTGAACCAGCCCTTGAGAAAGTCGCCTCAGGGAAGTTCCGTGTTGTTCACAATTTGTAGTAGCGTTGAAACGCCTCGTAAAACGCAAGGAACCATGGAAATTCTGTGCATGACGACAAAATTTGGTTACAAAATCAACTGAGTTGTCAGAATAACGGGCTAAAATTATTGAAAGAAAACAGGACATTGACATGGATGGTAAACAAATTTGAAAAGATTACAGACTGCCTTCGGGTAAGATTGAAAATCTTCAGCTCACTTTTAATAGCTTCTCAGATTTACATTAAGTCTAATTTTCAGGGCAGGCATAATGGACCAACTGTTTATGGCAAAATTTGCAGAAATAGGCAGATAAAAACAGCATCTTGGCAAGCGATGCCGAAAGCAAATTGAGCCAACTTAATTATTGTACTGAATTTCATGGTTTGAGCCCTCAGTCGAGTGAGAACTATTCAGTGACTTGTCAGATGGATCACTTATGGACGAAATTATTGCCAAAGTAAGAAACAAAAACATTCTACAGCTTATGTATGCTTTATTTTGAGCTAACTCGTAACTGAACAAATATTTATTTCAAAGAGTCGCCCCGAAGCGCCGAAAATTCCTATACCGTTTTTTACCGGCAGAAAACGTTTAGCGTTCACTAATGTTTGCATTCGATGAGTGTGTAAGTTCAGTGTGTTACTGCTAGTTTGATAAAAGTTAATCTTAAACTTTCGGTGGTATTATTTTATTCCAAACAGAACCAAGTCAGCCGTAAAGGGTGGGTTTTATAACTGTCATGAACAGCGAAATAACGTACTTGCACAATTTTGATTATGAAGATACTTCGTAAATACGTAAAACAGCAAACAGGCAAGTTATCCTTGCTAGGAGTGAAACCAAAAACCTATCTATGGGGTAGCGAAAGATATCTCCCTTAAAAACGGTCTCTCAGAATTTTTCACCAAACTTCACAGGCCTCACAATCTTGTTTTGTTTTCCGCCGTACCAACTTCCTTCCGTTTCAAAGCCTCTGTTTTGCCAAGAAAGACTCAGCCTCCTTTCTCGACAAAGCTGTTAAGAACATTTCCCTAAGCCGGCGTTAATCCGTCTGAGGGGCGGATTAACCCAAAGTAAGTCCACTAGAAAAACAGAGGATTTAAAAAAGACAAACAAATTTCCTTGTTGTAAAGTAAACACCAAATCGGAAACCTGTGAAGACATCGATAAAAGCAAAGCTAGGAAGACTTCAGAAAAGTACAAATTAACACTGCAGCATGCACGTAGGTCAGTCAGCATAATTTTAATGATGAAACCTTCGAAATCGCGGCCCAGTTTTTTTAAAAGACTAGAAATAGCTGGATTTACGAGGAAAGAAGCCAAGGTCATCATCTCACAAAGTGTCTAATAGACAACTTACCCCACCCTCCCCCCCCATCCCTTTAATCCTTTATCAGATATACTTTAATTTGTGATTAATAACATTCTCAAACAAGCTCTTCATTCTCCAACATGCTCCAACAAACTCCTACTTTTTGTAAAATCATGCAAAAGTAATCAGACGGACAAAGATCAGCATATTTCCTTGCGTTTCTTACTTTTTTTTTACTTTTTTTTGTGAGCTGTAGGGGATTGTTTAGGTTGTTGTGCCATTCATGGTTTTAATTCTGATACCCCCAGTTTAACACTTTTTAAACGCTGGGCTAGCACTGATTATTCATACTTTTGCATGCGGTTAAAGGTTTACCAGAGATCGTTGCGATGTGCGAATCTTTGAAGTCTTAATGTGTCACACGCATCATTGAAGGTTCTATTCTTCTCCATCAAATGCATATGCGAAACTACCAAATGTGAGGCGAACATAAAAATACTCTGAGCTAGGAGTTATCATTAATAGCGTTAAAATATATAAGAGTCTGCGGGATATAGCTGATTCAATTTCTCTAGCATCACCCGCTGTTGCCTCTCATCTATTGCAGATGTCTGTCCGTTATGCTCTTCTTCGTCGACCATAATATGAGTGTCGCTACACCCGTTACCTCCTTCGTGCAGGACGCAGTTGGTGTACTCCTCTATATGGGTCTGAAGGTATGAAATCGGAACTTCACCTTGAGACAATACCTGGTAATGAAAATCTTGAATTTTAAAATTTGCTCCGAGTTTCTTTGAAGTCTCATTGCGCATTCTCCAAATTGCCAGCTGACCAGTCATGTAAGCGGTCGCCTGTCCCGGATAAGCCTCGTACCGACTGACTTCGTTTGGAACAACGTCGCTGTAATCCCACATATAACGCTGGAAGAGATTTATGGCTTCGTCTCGTGTCATGTTCTTAGAATGGAGGCCAGTATCGATAATAAGGCGAAGTGCGCGCCATATTTGACCCTTAAGAGCACCGTAACGTTCGAGGATACGGTTTTGATAAAGATCTGCAAAGGTTTTTAAATATAAGTTCCAACTGACTAAAACTATTGTATATCATTTAGGGAAGGAAAAACAGATGAGCCAAAACCGAACTAAACGGTCCTCATCAGCCCGTGGCAAAACTCACACGATACTAAGGAAAAACCTCTCAATTAAAGCGCAGTAAATTTGTTTTGATTCAAAACTACGGTTCAAATTGTTTAGGCTGAGACTGTGACTGTTTTTTACCATGAGAATCTTTGTATTCCACCCATTGCACTACAGAAACGTATTTGCATATCTATTGGAGCTCATTGTCCGAGTCTTGGGCTATCTGTGGCCCAATAGGTCTTCTTGAGTTGTAGATGCAACTAAAACTATGTGCCGTGTTTAACCGAAGGTGTGACACGCACATCCCCTATCTATGCCAAGCCGGCCTTGTCTTTGGAAAAATTATGCGTGTTTAGTCCGACCCATTTGCTTACTAACCTGTATCCTGCGTAGCGAGTGGATTCTCAGAGTACAGTCCCCAGCCCTCTCTGATGGCAATTGCTGTTACATCCCTCAAGAATTGAAAATTGACGCCTTCCTCGCATACATGTCTGCAACAATATCACGTAGGTAGCAACCCATGTTAGTTTCGAGCAAGTTTCAACATAGCCTACCACTACATAGGGACGGGCAGGCTGATATGCTCCCAAGCCCGGTCTTAATTTAACGCCCGGGGAGGGGGAGAAGGGGTTGGAAGATTCTGGGGGATCACTGGTTTTCAGAAGGGACGTAGGGGGGGAGGATCAGTTGTCGCCAACAGAGTATAAAGATGGGAGTGTAGGAGACTGACTGCCAATTAACATCCAATGAAGAGGGTATAGATCATAAAAATACTACAAAGCTTTATGGGGGATCAGATATATTTTATCATGACATAAGGAAAATCCTCCTTCCTCCAGACGATGATTATAAAGACCAGTCCCTTTAGGCAACTTTACACATCTAACTCACACCTTCTCTAATTGTTCCATTCTGCTCTCGTTCTGTGTGGCTCAGAGGCCGAGTATCTTCTCTAGCAGCTTTTACGGCTTACGGTTATAAAAACAATTGGCCAATTTATGACTGACGGTTGATGAAACATCGCTCTCTACACCGATATCACGCAGCGCCATCTTGGATTTTGTGGCACACCAAATTGAGGCTGGACGAACGATTCCGACATGTTCCAAAAGGAGGAGCTTCTGTTACGCAGTCAAATTTCCATATTTTGACACAAATTTCGTCAAGGAATGACTTCAGAAAGATGGTTAAGTCCCAGAGAACATAATAACATGTGGGTACAGCAATTTCTGTGTAGGCTATATCTTTGATATCGAAGGTGAGTTTCATTTTTGATGAGTTGTTGTTGTTGATGCTTCGAGTCGACTTGATGAACTTGAGAAAACCTGTACTCGAACAGTGGCGTGATTCGTGCCACTTCAACTGTTTTTAAAAGAATTGGTTTGTGCGTAGAAACTCGATATGCACACGCTAAGCATGAACCAATTCTTCGAAAAATGCTATGAAACCCACGCACACAAAGAAAAAGAGTTCATTACAACTGTACATGTGTCGGGTTTATCAGTTAATCAAGTTCTACCCGAAAACTATGAATAAACGACTAAAAAGAAGCGCCAAGGTATATTTCGAGACCAAGTCTTTATTCAAAGAAGTGTAAATTTTCAGCTCAGAAGCGAAAAACGAACGAATTTCTTGCATGTACAAAACCGCGTAGGAGATTCAGCATGCTTGAATCGTTGTTAACTAGAATTCACGTACAGGAAATTTGCGTAGGTTTGTGACAAAAATTTGGAAAATTCTGCACTTGTACGGTTTTGAAATTAAAATCTGCTATTGAACAGGTAAGAATTATAGCAACCGTTCGAATAACGAAGCGAAAAGCTTTCAAATTTCATGCATTTATATTACGAGACCCGTGTGGTAGATGTGTTGTTTTCTAGATTTTACGACCAGAAATTAGTTAACTTTGTGTTGAAAATTTTACGATTTCAAAACAAAATCTTCTATTGAACAACACATTGGGATATCAACACTTCAAAATTATTTTTGCCGTTCTAACAAAGAGTCCCTAACCTCGCAAAGTCTCCGTTGAAGTCAGAAAACTCAGCCATAGCTGGCATTGCTTTGGGGAATGAAGCGTCAACTCCAAAACTAATTTCGTCGCTTTAAAGAGCTTCATGCTCATTTTTTTTTCGAAACTAGTATTATTTAGCATGTATTTTTTTTATCATTTTGAGTTCCAAAAGGTCTTTCTCGTTCGAGACAGAACGGAAAAAACAACCTTGACAGTTTAGAAACCTCGCAGCTAGACTCGACGGGAACATTTCACCGACAATGACGTCAGCCTGAACCATCTCAACGAACCATAACATCCATTTCTTTTTCCATAAAATATTAGCCAATAAGAGCGCGCGTTAGAATGTATCTATGTTACAAAGGATCTTATATTGTGTTTATCCTTTGTATATGCCCGGATTCGCTTTTCGAAATCTCTCGTGCTGTACAGAAATGATGAATAAAGCTCTTGAAACCATGTCTCGTGGCCTGTTTACGTTTTCACTCCTTTATATTCGCACTTTACTTTCAGGAAAAAATCCCAGGCACAGAAGTTGTCGCAAGAACTCGAAGCTACAAATAATATCGGAATAATGAACATTCTTGATGGTTGCAGGTATTTATTTGTCACGATAAAGGGCTATTCCCAACCGCTGATGGGAAATAAGCCGCGCTTTTCTCCGACAGAGGTCTTTTCGATAGCTCCCCCCGAAAGGAAGAACTCGAGAAAACAAGTGAAGTTAAGCCTATTTCTTCACTCACCCGAAGTTTTCTTTGTATCCCTGGGATTGCAAATGGTGCCCGGGGCTTGCCTCGAGTGCATTCACTGTGAACTCAAAGTACTTGGGCCCCATTCGATCTACAAAGAAGGGCACGTTGTACTTGCCGGGCGTTCGACAGGAACTTGTACTCGAAGAATAACTCTGCACGGGTTGCAAGGGAACGAATGATATTTCCATAGCAACTGGGCAAGTGGGAACGGTGGTCTTGTTGCCAGTGAAGTAAAACAAACCTGTCAATTTTGGCAAGATGCGTGACATGGTTTTGCGTGACAAATCCAGCCATTTCAACATCGTTTTGTAGCGTTCTGGACAATAGTTTTGGGCGGCTGAAAAAAATGCTCATCGAGTAAATAAGGAAAAACTGCTCAACGGAAAGGTACATTTTTAGAATGTTTGCAGGCTATTGCATAATCGTAAAACAAGAAGGAGATCAAACATGAATCTTCCCGCAGTAATCACGCGAATCGATGTTATTTGTCGGAAAATGTTGGTTACGCCTTTTCCTCTATTATTCATTTAAAACTGACAAGAAAAATATCTTTTTAAGCTGTCGTGGTTTATCAAAAACTATTTCAGATTTAAGAACTTATAAAGTCAAAACCTTTTTCAGTTCTCAGATCAAGGGGGCTGAAAAACCACACCCTTAAGGGCAGGGCAAATTATACATCCTTCATGTGGGAGTTTCTCCCTCGGAGGAAAAAAGACCTCCAAACGCTTCCTATTTTCGTCATATGTGTGTTCAACACTTTTACACTACTGAAAATTTCTTGCATGTTATGTCAATCATGTTATCATGAACTGGAATATTCCCTACCCTCTTCACTCTTGCATTTTCGAAAGGCCTCTTCATTAGATTCATTTTCGGGGAAAGGATTTTCATTAAAGTACATTTCCGTTGAATTGAGGTACTTTGCAAACTGATTTACAGCTGTCTCCTCAATATCCTGTCCCATGATCGTCTTAGCAATATCCACCGCTTGCCGGTAAAGTTTCTCCAACATCTCCCAGCCCAAATCCTGAACTTCAGCTGCAATATTTAGGGTTAAATCGAAAATGATATGGCTTAAGGTAAAGAATACAAACGAGACGGATACGGCCCAACCGCAGCCCCACCGCAGAAGCACTGCGGCACCACCGCGGCACCACCGCAGCCCCACCGCGGCACCACCGCGGCACCACCGCGGCACCACCGCGGCACCACCGCGGCACCACCGCGGTACCATCGCGGTACCACTGCGGCAGCACCGCGGTACCACCGTCTTTATGTGCTTTTGCCGCCTCTGTAGTGAAGAATATATGCAGTGTCCAAAACTGAACGTCAACTTTCTGGTATGCTCTGAATTCAAATGACATGCTGCTGTCACAAATCTCCCTCCTTCCCCTCCCTGTCTCTTTTGAAAAGTCCAACCCTAAGGTCTGAGATCCAAAACGTCATCAAGACGCTGTTGTAAGCGCGCCCCCTCCCCCCTGAAAAATTCTGCCTTCGCTTCTGGCGCTTGGATTCTCTTTTTTTACTTGCTAAAGTTACCTGGTGTAATATCTTGTGTTGTGTAATAAGACAGAAAGTTTTTGTATGAATCCTTTCCTGGTAAGACCGTGTCTCCTTCTCTGAAAGTCGGATTTGTCCTCTCTAAGGTTTTACTCCCGTTGAGGTACACGTGATCAACAGGCAACGTACCCAGTCCACTTGAGATATTAGTTGGTAAGCAATGTGGCAGGTGCTCATTCTCAAAGTACTCAAATAGGTCAAGCAATGGCGATCCAACATTACGAACGAGGCTCTCCTCCACAAGAACAGTGCCATTCATTCCGTGCTTTGCTATTATCTTTTCAGCCTCTTCTGAGCTTATTTTAGAGACAAAGGTTGAAATTTGATCTTGAAAAGCCGACAGGATTCCACGGCCGGATTGCTGCGAGGAGACCTCAATGTAAATGTCTTCCAGACATTCTCTCCCTTCTTTGCACACAGTAACGGACCCTACCATACCGGTTCGGATCCCACTTTTCAAGTTTTCCTTGAACTGGTTAATCCCGGTTTTAAATTTGGCCAAAAGATTCAAAATTTCCTCTAGTTCAGACGCTGTCTGAGGAGTGAAAAAGAGAAATACGGTGCTGAGCTGTTTTTTAATAGAGGTGATGCCCTTGAAAGTCCGAGAGCAGTATCTGCCTGGTCCCAACATCCAATAACCTGGAAAAATTCAATCAGAAAATAAACCGATATTGCGAAGTGCTTAGATAATAAGAAAATCTTTACATTGTAACCGACGGACGTTCTACCGCGAAGAGGGACGTTCCATACACTCGACCATTACAGGTGTTGAAATTTCCCTAAAGATGGATGTTGAACGTAACTTTGTAACGAGCATCATAAGCGACAGATCCGACCAATATATTTTTCTATAATCATCATCAAATTGAATTAAATATTTCGAGATCAATCTTTTCTCAAAATTTTAAACGCCATAAAACAAATTAAGAGCGGCGCCTTTCTCTCACTGTAGGATCTATCGGTTTGGATTTGAACCTCAATACACGCTCCTTCTAAAAGATTTTCCTTCACGAAATGATGACTCTTGGCATTCTGAAAGCATTACCAAACACTTTGCCATAAATTAGTTTGGCTTTGGACCTCCAATACACGTTCCTTCTAAAAGACTTCCTTTGCAAAAAATGATTCTTGGAATTCTGAAAGCGCTACCAAATGCAATGGCACCCAGTCCTCTCAATCCAGACTCACCGGCTAAATAATTGTTTTCAAAAGGCCGCCCGAAGTAGTGCTTCAAGAAATGATCCGTTTTAGCGATCATGCGTCGTTCACTCGCAAGTAGAAGCTTCTTGTCAATCTTTAAACTTCTCAGCTCCTTCAACATAGAATGTGCACGTTCAGAAATGGCTTTGATACTCTCCGGGGTGGGGTTGTATGGTTGGAATATCTTTTTCATCTCTTCAACAGAGACTCCTGTCATGAAACCAGCATCGTACGGGTGAAGTTCACGGACAGTACTATCAATCCTCTTCAAAAATTCAAGGAGACCTGAGAGAAAGCAATATAGATTTAGGGTAAAAATTTAACAAGCGCAAGGAGATGGCAAATGTACCCAAATGATATGCAACGACGAGAAAAAGATGACCACTTCTACCTAACAATTAAATAGTTTTTAAGGAATATCTGGTCTTTTGGCATATATTTTCACTTGTCGAAAATTTCTAGTTCATTTTGCGCTTAGACCTTACCCCACGAATATGGAGAATCGGTTTCTGAAAAGGGTGAACCCTCGGACCATCTTTGAATAACATTTGGAGAAGCTCATCACTTCAGAATCTGCGCGGAGTTTAGAAACGTAGATGGTGATAAATGTGACACTGAATTATATGGGTCTTGACAAGAGAATATCTTTTAGTATTGGACGTTTCAAACAGTTCTCAACAAGAAACTATTAACTGGTGGTTTTCAAGGAGTTACGGTCTGTTAGATTAAGCCGGGAGCATCAAGCGATGGTCTTAAAGAGAGCTTTTCCTTAGATTCTTCATAACAGCAGATATTTTGTGTAAATGCTGACACAAAGATCTGAGTGACCTCTCCATACTCCTCCAACATGAGCTTCCGTGACACTATTGGTCACGCCTAGTTGCATAGCGCCTATTAAGTTTAATAATCCCTTAGGTAGTGCATTTGTCTGACTTAATTAACCAAGGAGCAATAAGAAATATGTTGACTGCTTCCCGGAATGATCTCTGGGCTTCCTTAACTGCTACTTTGTTTAAATTCCATCCGGAATCATTCAGTTGCACTTGCATTTTTGGCTCACAAATTACAACATAGTGTTCTCACCTACACGCTTTGCCTCGGCTGAAAATGCACACTTTCCAATTTCATCATCTTCACGGTTTTCTCCCTCACTTCTTTCATGTGTCTCAGATTTGGTGCTTTGACTCTTCACCATGAGAACCAAACCTGTGATGAAGAAAATGAGACCTAACACTGCAATAAGTGCCATGATTGCAAAAGCTGTCTTTTGTTTAACTCCGAATTGTCTATGGCTTTTTGTTGTCGCGGTGTCCTACTGGATTATGTCTGAAGTTCCAGGGGCGAATGCTTGCGCACCTTCGAGCTCTGACATCTTAGATGTCTGCAAACCACTGCAAACAGATTTTGCGGGATTCAGTTGACAAACTGATTACTGATACCATTCAGTTGTATGGTATTCAGTCACGCAAAGCGCGAGGAGGCAAAAATTTAAATTTCGTCAGTACCACTCAAGCATGAATACGTGAAGTGATTTTAATTAAATTATTTTGAATAACAAAAGTGTAACTCAGGTATAGAAAGCTCCTTTTTGTGAAGCGAAGCTCGGTTCTGTCTCTTATTTTCAAATCGAGCTCAAAACACACACACAAAAACAAGCAAAACAGAAAGGAAAGGTGCTTGCGAAACTTCTGCCAAGAGTTAAAGTTTCTCTTTTCTTTCTTTCTTATTTTCTTATTTTTTGGCGAAAACAATGGCGAACTGATTCTTTAATTTTCAAATTATGTCCCAATAATAGAAAAATGCCAGCTTGACGTCTGCTTAAAAGGTTGAGTTTATTCTCTTCTCAGTATAAATGGCCATTCATTCAGTGCAAAAATCGTAATGCTCATGCGAAACAGCAGTTACCCCGGAAACTGAACACACGATAGCTATGTCGCTTTGGTAGCTTAGGGATAAGTCATTATTTAACCGCTGGGGGTGGGGGTAGGATTTTGAGGGGATCACTTGGTTATAAAAGGGAACGGAGAGGGGATCGTGGCTATTAGGGGGACCATAGAAAATTAACCACCTACAGAACCTCACGGGGTATCAAGTAAACTTTATCGTGACTCATCTAAAATCCTTCAATTNGGTCTCTTATATCAATCAAACCAGAAAGTTCTTCTCGAAATGCAATGGCAATAGTTTGTAGAAATTAGCAGTTATGATGCAACGCGGTGCATTTTGATGCTTCCATTGTGCGTTATAACATCAAGCTTGCGTCTTTAACGACTTGAAAGTCAACTCTCGGTGATTGTTTCAATGTCGAAGAAAATCAAAATTGCATTTTAATTCAGATTCGTTCAAACTTTAATATAAAAGGAGAGAAACTTCGAAAGTACTCGCTTTCTTCTCAAAGAACACTCGGATTTAAGTGGAATATAATAGCTATAGAGATAAACATTGCCTGGACATTTTTCTTGCTAGTTATAAGGACCTAGAGAATCCTATTTTATCGAAATCGCTGAAACACTTTTCCGTATCGCCGTCTGAGGCTCCGGACAAAACACAGCCAACGTAAAACTTCTTGATGTGCTCATCGACAAACCACAGAGGCATGTTTCCTTGCAAGAGTACGTGATAATGAAAATCCCGAATATCGTATTGCGATCCAAGGCTCGCTTCTGACTCATTGCGCATCCTCCAGATCTCCAACTGGCCAATCATGTACGAGGTTGCTTGACCTGGCCCAGCCTGATAACGAGAAATCTCTTTCCGTGTGATATCACTGTTCTCCCACATGTATTGTCTAAACATGGTCAGCGCTTCATCGCGTGACATGTTCTTGTAATGTAGACTCGTGTCGATGACGAGGCGCAGTGCTCGCCAGATTTGAGATTTGATGACACCGTAATAGCGTAATGGCTGCTCTGCGTATAAATCTACGAGAGTAAAAAGGCAAAGTGTTGTGTTATTTAGGAGGTATGTCGATGAATTAGAATTCGTAATCCTTCTATTAAGAGATTAAATTCTTTACACCCAGGAGAGAGTAACATCTAATTTCTCCTTACAGCTTGACCGCTCAATCAAACACTATGATCGTGAGAATGAAGGAAATGATCGGTAACCTCTTGATTGTTAAACAAATTCTCCTTGTCAATGATATAGGAAATGTATAGGTAACAGTATGGAGAATATTGTATTTTGATGATGTAAAGGCTTAAATAAAAGGATTAAATGTATCAATTACGAACAAAATACTACGAGCCATTAAGCATACAGAGTCAATGATTTTCTTCAAGTAAAATTAATTGAACCTTACAAGCAGGGCCAATCTCGGAATAACGCTTTAGAGCGCTTTTCGATTAGTAGTTGCAACGGCCAATCAGAAGAAAGGAATATACCTCGAAGAACCAATGAGAAATCAAAGTCAAAACTGGCAAACCACCTGAAGCGCGGAAAACGCGCCGAGTGACCAGGTCGTGATCAGTGTTAGTTTTGCATCCGATTGTTTGGGGGAGTAGAGCGAGTTTTCTGGGCCAATCAGAGAGTGGAGGAAAGCAAGAGAGTCTCAATGGGGTTAACCCTTAGCCGCAAAACGGACAAAACATTTAGCCGTTAGATTCAAAAAGTAACAAGCTTTAACCGTTAGTCGTAAAAAATGTTCACCGTGAAAACAATTTTGGTGACAACAATGGTAAGATGTTAACCGTTAGCCGTAAAATGGCCGCGATTTTAACCGTCGGCTTGAGACCCTCAAGCAAAACTACAATCTCGTTCCCAGGGCCTTTTCTCTTGGCTGGGAAGAGAGAAAAGGCCCTGGGAACGAGGTTGGCAAAACCAGTGTAATCCGGGACTACTTAACCCTTTAACTCCCAGAAGTGATTAGCATGTTATTTCTCCCTAAAATGCCCATACATTATCCAGCATACAAGTAATAAGAATACTCAAATTTATCCGGTAGAAGTTGATATCTTGATCAAAAACCAAATTACCGCAACAAATGGAGAAGGGAACTTGTAGAGGTAAGAAGGGAGAATTCACAATCAGAAGTTAATGGGTTACGACACTCAGTTATTGAAAACTGCTCTATCTAACTGAACTAACTTTATGGCGGATTACTGCTGACTGAAAATCGATGTCACCTGAATCGAGGCTCATTAGAGGATGTTCAGCGTAAGTCGCCCAGCCTTCCTTGTAAGCCGTGGCAGAACTTGGTTTTAATACACTTGGACACGGAGCTATTCTTAAATGATAAAGAAAGAGGTGCAAGTTACTTGCTTTTGTTTGTTGCCATTTGTGATGATGCGTAGCTTTGGCTTTCCGACAAAACTATATAACGGCAACATTTACATGTTTTAAAGAATGGTTTGACTTTTGCGTCCATGAGTTTAATGTTGTGCAATCATTGAAATGAAAGCCTCTGGGCAGTTCTTTCACATGGTAACATTTATTGTATTGTAACAGGTGGTTCTCACATTGACTCTTGTGAAGTGACTCTACTCGTGTAGGCTACTGAGCACTTATCGGAACTGTTCATTCTCAGCAATGTGGTTCCAACTTTAAAGTCTTTGTACTGAACTCCAGTGTGTGGCTATCCTATTCTAGCATGCGCACAGGCCCTCATTCTTATTAGGGACTATAAGCACCGGCGACAGGACGGGACGGCGACAGAGAAACCGAGAAAAGACTGGGGAGAGGACGTGGTTGTGGCGCGAAATTAGAAGCTCAGCACTGTAAGAGGTGTGAATCTCCGTCCCGCTTAGATTTGAGACTAGTCGGACAGAGGTTCGCCGGGAGTTTGGGCCTTATGATCAGTTCCAGACCCCTGGCAGACCTCTCGCCGACTCGTGTTGCTCAAGGTCCCCATACTTTCTCCCGCTTTCGAAGAAAGACTCGTGCCGAACCATTAATAATGAGGGCCGACTTGCAGGTTCATACGATTTTACTGAAAGCATCTGATGACTGCTTTTATGTGGTGCACTTCATCAATTTGTATAAAGTAGTCTTAGATCTGAAAATGAAACCAAAGAGTGTAACCTTCAAACCACAGACCTCTTTCCTATGAACGTGCAGGTGAGTCTTCTGACCTCCGCTCGAGAGTGAAAGTTCTCTCGTTCTTGTTTAATGGGCCGAAAAGTCCCAATTATATGCAAACAAATGATTACTAGTCAGGCTCGCCATTTGTCAGGAAAGAGGTCTATCCAAAGCAAACTCACCGAGGCTGGAATATTGCCTTGAAGCCTTCCTCTTGAAGGTGATGGCCAGGAACTGCCTCATGTGCAGTTGTAGTCCATTCCATGTACTCACACCCCATTCGATCGACAAAAAATGGCAAATTGTACCTAGCCGCGTGTCCACAGTTACTGGAGGAGGCCGTATGCGTTGCCACGCCCACGTACGGAGAAAAACTTATAACTGGTTCAACGGGGCATGTTGGTATCGTCCTTCTGTCGCCGTTGAAGTAAAACAGCTTGAGTAGCTTACCTCGCAAGAATGTCAATGTACTGCGAACAATTTCCAACCAGTGAGACATGGCGGTATAACGTTGAGGACAGTTGACTTCCGCATCTGGTCAGAAAAGAATGACCAATCGATTAATTATTTACATTACTGTAAAAAACGACTGCAACGGTTTTATTGTACGTCGTTAAAAGTTTGTATATGAAGTACAATGAGTTGTCTTACAAGGTGGTCACTTTCAATGTGGGTCGTGACGATTCAACTGCAAACTTCGAGTCTTGGTCAGACAACAAGGTCAACCTGATTACGCGTCTCTTTCGGTTGTGTTTTTGATCGTAAGAATCCATGCTTCGGTGAGAGCAGGAGAGCCGAGTGATAACTAACTGCTAAAAGAAAAATTTCGCCAAAATGCGCCAATCACATCTGTGGAATTCCAGCCAATAAAAGCAGAGCGAAACGGTTTATAAGGTGACGCGCACTCACTCGACTTTAACGCATGAAGAAGACTCGCAGTATGCTGTCAAAATCGAAAGTGACTACAAGTGAGATAAACTAATATACTTCTTTTCAGTTTAGTACTGGCAGGCAGTCCTGAGGTATGTCCGAGCGCTCTGATTGGTTCTTACTCGATTGGGTTATTGCCAAACGGATCTTTCCACGGAAACGGTTATAAGCCGTTTTTTGTTTCGTTTTTTTTTTATGCTCGCATAGGGTGGCTAATTTAAAATAAACAAGCTTAGTCTAGGTGCCATATAATAAACTACTTACCAACCTGACTTGTTCGAGCCGCACTGGGGAGTAGTGGCCCTCGGGCCAGCATTTCCCAGTACGGTACTCGAGCTCGGCTACTAAGAAGTTACTATTCACCACTATTTCTAACCGCAGCCTTTATACGATATTAACCTGAAAAATATCGATAAGAACACTTCGACTGGCCAATACTAGTAGTCTTC